GTCTCACGAAAACAGGCTGGTCTCACATGATCCCAAATGTTAACATGAACATTTCCACGTTAAGGCATGTAAAAATGTTAATTTGTGTGATTTAGCAAAGTGATTCCTAAACGATACTGATTCTGATTCTATATGCTGACTAAAACAAATACTTAAACGTATGATATGTATGTTTTGTTGTAAAATGCATGGATGCAGCACTCCAAACACGAATTGAGTCAACAAAATGTGTGCCCAAAAGACATTCATCATCATGTTGATTGAGTTGAGGTTATCAAAACAAGTTTAAACCCAATGAAACAGATCGGTTGTTAAGTTGGATTAGGTGAAATGACTCGGTTCCGAGGGAAGGGTGACCCCGAAGGAGCAACTAAACCAAGACTTTGCATCACCTTCATTCGACGCCCACTCATTTCTTGCGCTTTCAAACTTATCTGCACAAATTCACACCACCACCTTTCACATGTAAAATGATAGATAGAAAAGTTGGCCAAAAAAGGATCGAACATAGGATGTCCATATATGCAATGGTTGGCGAATGATCGTTTGAGAAGGAGAGTTAAGGTGAGAAGCGTAAGAAGGGATATGGACTCTTGATCACCTTTAATCTCAAACCCACCCATGAACTGCGCTTGATATAGGGATTGATCCGGTACATCTCGGTCCTAATGTGTATCAAAGGGTGGAGACCCCTTCTTACGCTTCTAATCTTAACTCTCCTCACTGGAACCCAACCCTGTATGCTTCTAAACGTTTATATGCATGCGAACCATTTTGAATTCAGAGTCTCTTTGAAGAATGTGTTGGAATACCCAAGAGAGGTCAGGTCACTCACAATGCTTGGAGTAGATGGCTCAGAGATGTTATGCACCCTGTCGGGACTCGGTATTTTGTTTTTGGTTTCGACAGCAGTTTTGGATTTTTCTTGCTTTCGCTTTTTGCTCGAAACCTTTATCTGGAAACATGGTAAGGATGAGAACAAGGGTAAGAAAGTGTAAAGAAAATAAAGCAAGAATTATGGAGATCACATACATTCTTTAAATTCTCTAGCAAAATAGACTATAATTTGAGTATGGTCAGGGATCTGTATTTTAGCATCATGATCAGATCATATTTATTACCTGGGATTTATCTTTTTCAGATGATCTGTTTTGTGAAGCCTCAGTTAAAACTGTTCCTGCGGGTTGAGATGAACAAAACATGTTATAAACATGATGACTTTTGTGAGTCATTCTTTGAATACAAAATTGGTGTATATCACTTGATGGAATGGAACAAAATGTTTTCGTCAACCATAAAGAAGATTTAAACTTCTTTATAGAATACATCTCCCCCTTTTTTTTTTAATTAATCTGGATATCCAACCCGCTATGCGAGCCAACTAATCCCATGGCGACCACCTGCTTTGCAGATAGCCCGAAGTCACCGCATTTGAACCTCCATGACCACAAGGTGATTTTTATTCTTCTTTGGATTTGAACCTGAGACCTCCTGGTACTTTTGACCTTTGGAGCCAAGCTCAAACCAATCAGACACCACCCTTGTGGTTGAATACATCTCCCCTTAGATACCACATAATACATACAACATACCAGTAGCAACTATATGAAGCAAACATAAATGAATGACAACAATTGCAGACTATGCAATACAAAGAGGATTACAATTGTCAAGTTTATTTGGATCATAAAGAGGTTTTCCATCTTTGGCAGTAATAAGAGACTCCCCTAATTTGCATTACAACGATCCACATTCAAATGAGAGTCGCATTGCAAGATCGAAACACCTAAATTAATTCCTACACAAAATCCTCGATGAAAATCTTAAAGATGGTTATGCCATGGGTGTATCCATATGATCACATTCACATAGACCATTACAGTGCTTGCTATATACACTAAACTTGTATACTATATACACTTGTTTTTCCAACAGGACAGACGTATATAACTGTTATAGTCAAACCAGTAACCAAAATCTAAAATTGTTATATAATTAATTGATGGGAAAAAATTGTTTTTGCCTATCATTGTTAAGTTACGCAAACAGTATACCATGAAAATCATGTAAACCTCTAAATAAACAGTGTGAATGACATAAAGATAAAATCACGTTTAAAAAAGATGTAACAAGACCCAACTGGCCACATAAATCAACATGTATCTCTAACTTCAGCACACAAGTACTTGTTAAGGGTGTGATTCTGTTACGAATTCAGAAGTTATGCAGTCTATTGTGAATAAGCCAGTAGAGTGGAAAGTCTATTCTAGAAGGGCTAAAGGGGTAACTTTGAAAAGTGGCTAGAAAGTTGTTATTTGTCTCTTTTTAAGGGGAAGGGGGGATACGTTTCTATGCATGTCATTTTCTGCTTTYTGTTATATTGGCTCTTTGCATGTTGCATTGAGAGAGGGATTCTCCCTGGAAATCGTTCTGTATTTTCTGTTTGATCATAATTCCATCAGCTTCCTTTCCCTTAAACCTTCTCTATCTTCTTCTTCATTTTCCGTTCTCTATCATTGGTCCAACCTGCCCTGTGACCTGCAGGACTCATGGAGACGCGTTCTGTTCAAAGCCATTTTGAACAACAGAACGAGCAAATTCAGCGATTGCAACTGATTTGCTGGAGATCAAATCAGCGATTTCGGTGTTAGATTTGGATCGTGCTGAGGCCAGTGAGTTTCGTCAAATGATGTTGGGCTGGATGAAACAGCAAACCCACGTTCCGCAGGGTGATCCATGTACGTTTTCTGGTGATTCTCCTCCGTCACCAAAAGGGGGTACATCTTCGGGGTTGTTTTCTAATTCAGGACCGGCTTCTTTGTCTCCTATGGGAGGCCTTCCATGGGCAGTAAAGAAAATCAAACTCCCGGAGTTTTATGGCTTTGACCCTCAAGGTTGGATCCAGAAGGCGTCGCTGTATTTCGATATTAATAATATCGCACCTCCTCTTTGAATTCGTTTAGCTCAGTTGAGTATGGTGGGAGTAGCTCAACATTGGTTTACCATAGTTACACAGGTTCATGATCCTCTTGGGAGCAATTACAAATTGAACTATTACAGCGATTTAGCGGCCTTGAAATCCAAAACCCTTTTGAGCAATTAGCTACAATGAAACAGACCACTTCAATTCACGATTACATTGATGATTTCGAATATCTTTTATCGTTGGTTCCAAAATTGCCCGAGTCTCAAGCATTAGGCTACTTTATCGCCGGCTTACGTGAGGACGTCAAACGTTGGGTCCGTCTCCATCGACCTCAATTCGGCCCCGCACACAAATGTCCAGAAGGGAAGTTGCGTGTACTGTTGTTAGGCGATGATGAATACGAAGTTAATGAAGGGGAATTATGTAACGATGAGGAAGAGCCGCCATCACGTTGTTCTCCAATTGACGTACCAGAACAGGGTTTATGTGCTTCCTTGCAACTATTTGGAGCCTGTTCTGCACTATCAGGATTCAGGAGGTAAAACGCTAAAATTAGAAGGTACTATTTCGGATATACCTTTACTTATTTTGGTAGACAGTGGCGCAATGCATAATTTCATTTCTCAACGGTTGGTAACATCTCTGGGTCTATCTTCAAAGCCGTTTGATGGTCTCAATATTCAGCTGGGTGATGGTCATAGAGTCTTCATAAATCAAAGGTGTTGTCAACTGTCAATTGTGTTGGGCACTTGTTCTTTCTTGGTGGATGCTTTAGTTTTCGATACTGGAAACTTGGATATGGTATTGGGAATGGAGTGGCTACGGTCCTTGGGAGAGGTCACCCATAATTGGGACAAGGCTTGGATGTGTTTTACGCATTAGGGCAGTCCCGTTCAACTTCAGGGACTAACTTCGGATCTCTCACCTGCGGAGTCACTTCAGACTTGCTTAACGGCTCCATCAGCAATACATTCTCCTCTCGGGTTTTCCTTGTTCGCCATCTCGACTGACACGTCAGGTTTGTCTTCTGTTCAAACTACTGAATTACAGCAGCTTTTAGACACATTTTCGGCTGTTTTTCAAGCCCCAACAGGTCTTCCTCCGTCCCGAGATCATGATCATGCTATCGTGTTGTTGTCCCCACAACCCATTAGTGTACGTCCTTATCGTTATCCCCACATTCAGAAAGCCGAAATTGAACGTCAAGTCCGTGAGTTGCTATCATTGGGAATGATCCGCCCATGCAAAAGCGCTTTTTCAAGACCGGTAATCCTAGTTCGTAAGAAGGATAATACATGGCGTATGTGTGTGGATTATTGCGCTCTCAATAAGGCTACCATTCCGGATAAGTTTCCGATTCCCATGGTCGAGAAACTTATGGATGAGTTATACGGTTCTCATTATTTTTCTAAGTTGGACTTAAAGTCCGGCTACAATCAGATTCGTATGAGGCCTGATAGTATTGAAAAAACAGCGTTTCGGACTCATGACGGCCACTACAAGTACTTAGTCATGCCGTTTGGCTTAATGAATGCCCCTTCGACGTTTCAGGCAGTAATGAATGATGCTTTTCAATCCTTACTGCGTAAATCGGTCGTCGTATTTTTTGATGATATATTAATCTATAGTCCAAGTTGGGAAGCCCATTTAAGTGATTTGAAGGTTGTCTTGGCTCTGTTACTACATAACCATTTTGTAGTAAATCGGAATAAGTGTTCCTTTGGACAATCCTCGATGGAGTACTTGGGACACATCATTTCTCGCACCGGTGTAGCCATGGACCCTAAAAAGGTGGAAGCGGTCGTCGATTGGCCAGTTCCCAAAAGTATTAAAGGCTTACGGGGATTTTCGGGGCATACCGGCTATTATCGGAAATTCGTTAAACATTATGGCAGCATCGCTAGACCTCTAACCGATCTCACTAAGAAAGACGCTTTCCTCTGGTCTTCTGTTGCTCAAAAAGCTTTTGAGGCTTTGAAATATGCTTTGGTACACGCTCTTGTTTTGGCCCTTCCTAATTTCAGCCTACCCCTCGTTGTTGAATGTGATGCGTCGGGGCGGGGCATCGGGGCTATTCTCATGCAACAAGGACAGCCCATCGCTTACTTCAGCAAAGCTCTGAGTGATCGTAATCTGGCAAAAATCGGCGTATGAAAGGGAAATCATGGCCTTAGTCTTATCCATTCAACATTGGCGTTCTTATTTGTTGGGTACTACATTCATCGTCAACACTGACCAAAAGAGCCTCAAGTTTTTGTTACAGCAGCGCATTACTACTCCTGACCAACAGAATTGGGTGGCTAAACTCCTTGGCTATAATTTTGATATTCATTACAAACCGGGTCGAGAAAACCGAGCTGCTGATGCGCTTTCTCGACGTGTTGATTCTGGTTACTTTCTCCATTTAGCCTCTTCTCCGCTATGGCTTCAAGGGGCTGATTTACTGAAGGAAGCATCCAATGACCCATAAATACAGCGGATTATGTCAAGATGGTTGGTCAATCCACAGTCACATTCGGGGTATGCTGTTCGACAAGGGGTTCTGTTTTATAAGAATCGTTTGGTTATCCCTCGTACTTCCACGATGATTCCATCCTTATTACAGGAGTTCCACCAATCTACGTCTGGTGGGCATTCCGGTTATTATCGTACTTACCGGAGGTTGGCGGCTAATCTTTATTGGCCGGGCATGGTGGAGAGCGTTAAACGGTTTATTCGTGAATGTGATATTTGCCAACGTTGCAAGGCTAGTGCTACTTTACCTGGGGGTTTATTACAGCCGTTAGACATTCCAGAAGCTATTTGGGAACATCTTTCGATGGATTTTATCGTGGGGCTGCCCAAATCAAAAGGGTTCGATGCTGTCTTAGTAGTGGTTGATCGGCTGTCAAAGTACAGCCATTTCATTCTTCTTAAACATCCGTATACGGCCAAGAGTGTTGCGGAAATCTTTGTGCGTGAAGTTGTGAGACACCACGGCATTCCCAAATCTATCATCAGTGATCGAGATCCACTATTTCTTAGCCGTTTTTGGCAAGAAATCTTTCGTTCCCAAGGTACGAAGTTGCTCATGAGTTCCGCGTATCATCCCGAGACGGACGGTCAAACGGAAGTAATTAATCGATGTCTTGAGGCTTATTTACGTTGCTTTGCTACTGATCATCCCCGTAATTGGTCCATGTGGCTCCCTTGGGCGGAGTTTTGGTATAATTCAACCTTTCATAGTTCAACGGGTAAATCCCCCTTTGAAG